CCCTTCTTTTTAACAAGGGATGGGAAACTGTTATTGAATACCTACAACAAACTGGGCACTTTGACATTAGAATATTAAATTAAAGACTACTGATATCTATCTGTCTGTATGTACATGTATATATAGAGTGTCTATCGTTATTTCTATTTAATAGCTGAGAAAACTGGAATATGTATTGTGTTCAAAGTTATGTAGTCATTAAAGGGGAACATCTGGCTCCTCACTATTCTTACCAGCTCAAGAGGCCCCTATCTTTGCCTCATCCTGCACAGGCCACCCCCATCCAAGTCTCAGAATAAGCTTGTCATATAGTTCATCACCAAGCTGGAGCCTGTGCCACTAATAGCCTACTCAGCAGCATAGTCTTCCTGAAGCTCAGACCTGGGCCTGTGCTTCTGTCTTCAGATGAGCACACCTTTACTTACAAAGTGCCAAGCTAATCAGACAAGAAGACCTTGTGCTACTTGGAGAGAGGAGTGTGCAAGTGGGTAGTAGGCTCGGCTACTCTCAGGTTTCTCCTGAGATTTTCTAAGATAGTTGGGTAATAATCTCTGGCTTCAGGTTCTCAAATGAAATAAAATTTTGGGTCCCTGGGACTCACACACTTTTTGTGCAGCTTGGACCCTCCTTTTTCCAGAAAATGGGAAGTTATTAAGCCTGCTTGGTTTTAATCATCCTTAACTTCAAGTTGTCCTTAAGGCAGAACTGAGTGCTTGAAGTTTGCTCCTGCCAACTACATGCTCCTGGCCCCTATCACAGGGAAGAGATACAGGCTTTTAGTCCTGTGTCTTCTTAAAAGTCTCACAGGCTACTCTAAGGAATAGGGGTTGTTCCCACATAGAAGGCAGGGCCAGCAGGGTAGGGCCATAGGGGCATGGTAACCACCAAGCTAAACAGAAAGGGGACCCTGCAGGGCTCTTGAGCTTGATCAAGCCACTTCCTGGCAGAATCCTTTCTGGGGAGAAGACTTTGGCCCAGTGGTTCAGGTGCTCCAAGCCTTCGTGGGTTAGCCTCCAATTTTCACCCACCACCAGGGGGCTCCACCCAGCTGATGTCTTTTTGCCTTGGATTGCAGGAGACAGGGCAAAAGCTGGATCAGGTGAAAGGTGAAGGTGGGCTTCTTGCCCACCAAACCTGGGATGTCAGGCAATGAACATTTTATTAATGTCAGGGGAACAAGTCTCTGACGTCTTCTGGAATGGGGTGCAGGGCCATCCTGGGAACTCCCTAGTTCTTCTTCCCATGGTCCCTTGGGCATGGACTGCATTTCCCTAGTCCCACTTGAGAAGAAGACACCTTGTCCTCAGCCCATCTCTTTTGAGCAGTTGTAGGGGAAGCTTCTTAAGAACTTATACATAAATATAAGGAAAGGGCTCATTCTGTCAGTGGTGAGTGTGAGGATATCTACATCTACTCTTATACACACCGCTTAATGCCATCTGTAACAACTCATTACCCAGGATTTTCAGAAAATGGTGCAGTATATGCATCAAACTCTATTTATATTGTATTACAGTATACATTGGTAAATATATCTACATGCATCCACAAGGCCACTGGCCATCTAGATCAGACTGAATCACTACACATCAGGAACTCTATTAAGCACTTCTGCTGTTACTCAGGAAATTCCTTAAATCAGTTTCTCTAATAGAAACTCAAAGTGCAAAGAAGAAAAGAAAGCAAATGAGCAATGAAAACCTGCCATTGCCCCAAAGTTTTAGTACTTTGGGAAAATGATCATACTTAGAGCTTTAGAGAAAGGCCTCAGACTGGAATTAGAGACAGATGTCTTCCTGCGGCATCTGTGGGGCAGTGGGTATGATTCAGCTCTCTGTTCTCTCACCTCCTCCAATCCCTGCATAAACCCAGGAAGCCTCCACTGGTTCCTTTATTTCATTCTCCCTAATGGTAAGGCTTGCCAGCCTTGGGTTCCTCTTGCCTTTTAGCTCACAGGAGGAGAGAGAGGCTCTTTTCTCTAATGCTGGCCCACCCAACTTCCTCACCTCACTGGTGAGCTGCTACCTGCTCACCAAGGCCTCTGCCTGGGAGGCTGTTCTCCCCTGCCTTTCTGCTCTGGATAGCAGTTACAGGGGTGCTGACAGCCAGCCTCAGAACAGGGAGCCTCTGTCAGATGAAGTAAAGTCTATATATTCTTTGTTATCATTCAGCAAGCCAGAAATACATACTCTGAACATAAGTGCATGTATCATAAGGAGGTATGAATGCAACACATACTGTGGTTCCAGTTTGTGCTCACTAAATGTTAGCCATATGGTTATTACAATGCCCAAAATATATGTCCTCTCTGTAGGAGAACCACAGACACATATGTCCCACCCTGTTACCAGTACATAACTGACCCTGTACATACACATTGGTTGATACACATTCACATCACAGAAAGCAAGAATAGATAAGGGCACAGGAGCACACTGTCTTTTCTGAAACTTCCCCTTAGTCAGCTAGACAGTGGAGCACTGGGCTGCCAGAAGTACCCAGATGCCAGGCCTGAGCAGCCTCTTGGGCTTGCTGATGGCTGCGTCTCTTCACTCTGTTCACCCTAGTTCTGGCAGGCTCCAGTCCCAATCTCAGGGTTAGTCTCTTAGAGCCCACATGGCTTCCTCTACCACTTAGTACCCTCTTCCAAGGAAAGAAGAGACGGCATCACGAGTCAGAGCCACTTCCCCTTGGTCCCAGTTACCACCCTGACTTTCCCAGGGCTTGATCCCCAGTCTGCTAAAGTGAGTGGTCCACAGTTTATTACCTGTTCCTAGCCCACCAGCTCGCCTGGACCTGCTACCACTGTTTTCAGGGCTGGGAGGTAGGGGATCTATGGCTAGGTGTGGGTCTAGCCCTAGCTGTGTCGGGCCTCCCTGCCTTGGCAAGTGTATTGTGGTGAATGCTGATTAACTGTTGTCCCCATTGGAGGCCAACTACCCCTAATTGGCTGGGGAGATCCAGACTGCAAATGAATCAAATACCTGGCTGTGGGTACAGAAACCTGAATCTTAATTCGTTATTTGAAGATCTCAAGTAACAGAAGAGAAAGAAAAGAGAATCAATTTCTATAGCCATGAAGTATATTCTACTCTTTCTGAAAGCCCCAAATCTCTTACTCATATCTCAAAGTAAATGAATTCTGATTATTAAAAAAAAAGCAATCAGTCACTCATTACATTTGGAAAGAGGTTTGCAGATGACAGTACATTTCTGAAACCAGAATTTTATGCGACAAGAATAAACTTTTCAGGCTATTTGACTAAAAAAAAAAAAAAGTAAGAGGACAATAATGTAAACACAGCCCACACACCTAGTATAATTTTCTAAGAGGCAAAAATATAAACTTTTGTGGGTGCAAGAATAGAACAAATCCTGTACAGTAGTGCCTTGGGGACAAAGTGTGTGGGGAACAGAGTCTCTGTGCTGATGTTAACCAGCCACAACAGACAAATGATGACACAGAAAAAAAAAATACCCAGGAAAATAAAGCAGCAGCAACAGTCAAAAATGCCATTGCCCTGGTTGCCCTCCACCCTTGTTTAGTTCACTTTGAAAAAGGTCAACATTTTTGCTGCAGAGCTCTCTGTTTCCACTAGCTGCTGAACTAGGGCGCAAATAAAATAATATATAATTCCGTGTTAAAAGAAAAAAACCAAAAAATTTATTGGAGAATTGACAATGCACACGCGAGCGTGCACGCGTACACACACACACACACACACACACACACGCAAATATAACAAAAGTGCTCTAGTTCTTGCTAAAAAATTTGGTCCCCCAAACGACACACTACACAACCAGGTCTAGGTTTTCGGGCCAGCCAGCTCAGGGGCCACAAGCCCGCCTGGGCCGTCTGAGGCCCTGCCGAATTTCACATTTCTCCTTCCCAAGGCGGGAGAAGCAAGACCTTTGAAAAACAAAAATTAGAGAGGGGAGAGCGGTCCCTGCAGCACACGCCAGGATCAGCAGATCTCCGGCATCGGGCTTATACCCGAAGATCGGGGGAAATTTGTTTTTTAGTTTTTTTTTTTCCAGATATGAAGAGAGGAAAACTCCCTGGATTCATAGACAAAATTATCTTTTACCGGTTATGTTTTCCTACCTCTATGAACGCAGCTTTTTGAAGGCCCGACGGAAATTCTACTGCAAATCTCCCCGAAGAAAAGATGAAGAATATCAAGTTTTTAATTTTGATGTTTGGTTTTAGCAAAATCCCAAGTCATAATACTTCGCCAGTTTTCCCCGGTGAATTTTTTTTCCTTAAAAAAATAGTTTTTACTCTCATCTAAAAAAGCCCCACCGATCATTCTAGCAGGATATTAAGCAGTCGCCCGAGTCTGGAGGTACCCGCCGAGCAGAGGAGACGCCGACGACTTGGGAAAGCGGCTGTAGCGGGGCTGTGCTGTGAACCTGAGCACAAGCCGTGGAGCGGCTGTCCGGGCTCCCCGCTTGGGCCCAACCCCTGCCCCGCCCAGTGGGTCCCGCGGCGAGCAGCTTCTGAGCAGCTCCACGAGGGCTCGCAGTGCGATCTGACAAGTTCGTCCCCTTCTCAGGCGGCGCAGCGCAGGGTCCTGTTACCGGTCCAGCCCGGGCAGGAGGGGAAAGCCGAGCGGGAGCCCACCGACCTGTAAGAGAAGGCCAGGAGTTCCGCACCGAGGAGGCGCGGCCGCATCTCGCCCGGGGCGCTCTCTCTGAGGTGAATTTTGGCACGAGGTGTCCAGGCACTGGGGCTCCGAGAGGAGGTGAGGCCTGCAGAACGCGCGCGGAGAGGCGGCCTCAGGCCACGGGAACGCGAGGGCACAGAGGGCAGGAAGGCGAGCAGAGGAGGAGAAGAGGGGACAAAGAGGAGCGGGTGGAGTGAGAGAAGCGGGGAGGCACAGAAGGGTCGTGGGCGCTGGCTCAAGAGGCACCCTTGGAGGGCGGCTGTGGCTGCGACCCAGGCTGGAGACTTGCATCCCGACATCTTCGCATCCGTCCGCGCAGGCAGGCGGTGGATCTCAGATGTCGAGGCGCGAGTGCAGCGCACTGGTCTTGCTGTCGTGGTCCCAGTAAGAGCAATGCATCATGGCGAGCTCGGGCTGTCGGGCGCAGGCGAACTGCAGGCCGGGTGCACTCGTGGGTGCGGGCGCTGGG